TTGGAAGGGACTTTGGAGATCTTCTAGTCCAACCCCATGCTCAGGCAGGAAACCCTGTACCATTTCAGACAAAGGGCTGTCCAGTCTCTTCTTAAAAACCTCCAGTGTCGGAGCACCCACAACTTCTGGTGGCAAGCAGTTCCACTGATCAATTGTTCTCACTGTCCCCCTTAGTTCCAGGTTGCTTCTCTCCTTGACGAGTTTCCATCCGTTGCTTCTTGTCCTGCCTTCAGGCGCTTTGGAGAATAGCTTGACTCCCTCTTCTTTGGGGCAGCCCCTGAGATACTGGAAGACTGCTATCCTGTCCCCCCTCGTCCTTCTCTTCGTTAAACTAGACATACCCAATTCCAGCAACCGTTCCTTGTATGTTTTAGCCTCCAGATCCCTAATCACCCTTGTTGCTCTCTGCACTCTTTCTAGATCTTTCTTTCTCGTTCTAGACTTTTCTCTTTTTTCATTTTGGTGAGCTGAAATGTGGCAAAGAGTTACTGTCTTCTAGTCCTCTCCCGTTGCTTCAAACGCAGCTCGTGGCTTACAAATTTCCCACAGGAGCAAAAAGCACAAATACGCAATAATCTTTGAACATTACAGCTTGAGAATCTTGCCCATCTGTTACACTGGAAAGGTTTTTATTTCTTCCTGCATTTTTATCAGTCTCATGAGTTAATTATTTCACTTAGGGACATTATGAACGTGAATGCGCTCCAAAATCCTGCATTCATAAAATACTTCTAACGAGGAAGTCTGGCAATTTCGGAGCGTGAACTGCGCTTCTGTGTTGATTACGTAGGAGTAGAAGCAATTGAATGCATTGCAGGTATATTTGGAATAAGTGGCTGGAGCCAAAAGCTTGTTGTCAAACCTAATAGATTGATTTCTGCTTGCAGTTTTTTCTTCTGTTCACATTAGGACCTTACAAAGCTGGACAGAAATTTGCCCACTGCTATTATTCAGAGCTTTCACTACTTCTGGAGGCAGGTTGTTCCACTGACTAATTGTTCTAACCAGGGCTTTTTTTCTCATAGAACGCTCAGAACAGAGTTTCCGGCACCTTTTTTGGATGGAACCTTGTAGGGTAGGCAAGGTGGGTTGTATGACATGTGTGAGTTCCTGCACCTTTTTTTTTTTTTTTAAAGAAAAAAAGCACTGGTTCTCACTGTCAGGAAATTCCTCCTTAGTTCCAGGTTGCTTCTCTCCTTGATCTGTTTCCATCCGTTGCTTCTTGTCCTGCCTTCAGGCGCTTTGGAGGATAGCTTGACTCCCTCTTCTTTGGGGCAGCCCCTGAGATACTGGAAGACTGCTATCCTGTCCCCCCTCGTCCTTCTCTTCATTAAACTAGACAGACCCAATTCCAGCAACCGTTCCTTTTATGTTTTAGCCTCCAGTCTCTTAATCATCTTTGTTGCTCTTCTCTGTACTCTTTCTAGAGTCTCAACATCTTTTTTACATCGTGGTGACCAAAACTGGATGCAGGATTCCAAGGGTGGCCTTACCAAGGCATTTAGATGATGGTGATGTTACCCCTTCAGTCGAGAGTCCGACTCGTGTCGATTCCCTGGGCCAGGTAGTCTCTCCCCCTCTTCCAATTTTGCGCTCCTTCTTTGAGTCTTTCTATGCTTTGACCAGGGTCAGCTTGGATGATGTCCAGCCACACCGTCTTCTTTGGCAGCCTGCTTTCCTTTCACCACTAACTCTCCCCAGCATAATTGCTTTGTCCAGTGATTTTGCATGGCTGGGGAACTCTGAGAGTTGAAGTCTACAACTCTTAAAGTTGTCAAGTCCGGGGGTTTGGAGACCCCTGGTTCAGCTGATGCATCCGAGAGTTTTGAAAAGTTGGCTTTGCTTTTGATCTATTTTTTTAGCGCTAAGCAAATTGCCCCAGTGAAAGAATGGCCCTATTCTATGCATAATATGCAGAGATCTCATAAAATTCAATCTCTCTCTGTGTTTGTGTGTGTGTTTTTCTCTGTATGTGCATGTTTCTCTCTCTTTCTGTGTGTGTGTGTGTGTGTGTGTGAGAGAGAGAGAGAGAGAGAGAGAGAGAGAGAGAATCAATGGAGCATTTCAAAGTTATGCCTCCCATTTGGGGACAGATTCAGATCTACAACTGATTAGTGCCCACTCACTGATTTTAGTGCTTGTTGTGGGCTTGTCGTGAGCTGGGCGGGAATGCAGCGTTTCCTGCTCCAAAACTGAGTGTCGTTTCATCCACAGCAGCAGAGTCCACACCAGTTCAGGACGGGCCACGGTGGTGGAAATAGAGGAGAGGAGACCGTATTTGCCAAGTTGGTGATCGATCTTGTGGCAAAGCTAAACCTGAAGCTCCACCTGAGTTGGGACCCAGGCCAACTCTTGCTGTGGCAATCCTCCTGATTGGCTTGGACTTCCCCGGGAGGAAGGGGATAAAACCAGGGCTGGCCAGAGGGAGGTCCAGGGCTCAGCTGAAGCACCTGTCGGGGCAGAAAGAAGCTGTGGTTGCTCATCCTCCAAGCAGGAACATCCAGACCTTTGGACATCGCCAGAGAAGGTGAGTGGTGGGGAAGGAAGGAAAAACCAGCCCCCGAGTGACCTGCTGAAAAAGGGTGGGGTGGAAATGATGGCCTGGCCTGAGAAAGTGGGCTGATGAGAAAGAGACTGCAGTAAACCCACCTTGGTTTTTTTCAATGGGATTCAGAGAGGCCAGGTGAGGAAAAAATCAGAGGACCGATTTCAAGAATGCTCTTGGTGGTCCTCTGGGAGAATGGCAGGACCTTGGAAGTATCTTTCAAGAGCAACCAAGAGGATCAGGGGACTGGAGGCTAAAACATACAAGGAGCGGTTGCTGGAATTGGGTCTGTCTAGTTTAATAAAGAGAAGGACGAGGGGGGACATGATAGCAGTGTTCCAGTATCTCAGGGGCTGCCCCAAAGAAGAGGGAGTCAAGCTCTTCTCCAAAGCAGGACAAGAAGCAACGGGTGGAAACTAAGCAAGGAGAGAAGCAACTTAGAACTAAGGAGAAACTTCCTTCCAGTGAGAACAATTAACCAGTGGAACAATCTGCCTCCAGAAGCGGTGAATGCTCCAACACTGGAAGTTTTTAAGAAGAGACTGGACAGCCATTGGTCTGAAATCGTATAGGGTTTCCTGCCTGAGCAGGGGGTTAAACTAGATGACCTCCAAGGTCCCTTCCAACTTTACTATTATTATTATTATCAAGGCTTTTTTTCTCATAGAACGCCCAGAACGGAGTTCCGGCACCTTTTTTGGATGGAACCTTGTAGGGTAGGCAAGGCGGGTTGTATGACATGTGTGAGTTCCGGCACCTTTTTTTTTTTTAGAAAAAAAGCACTGATTATTACTACTACTACTACTACTACTACTACTACTACTACTACTACTACTACTATTATTATTATTATTATTATTATTATTATTATTATTATTATTATTATTATTATTATTATTAATCATCATCACACAGTCAGCCAGATGTTCAGACTGGATTTGGCATTTTGTCTACCTATTTTTTTTTATTATTATTATTATTATTATTATTATTATTATTATTATTATTATTATTATTATTATTATTATTATTATTATTATTATTAATCATTGCACAGCCAGCCAGATGTTCAGACTGGATTTGGCATTTTGTCTACCTATTTTTATTATTATTATTATTATTATTATTATTATTATTATTATTATTATTACTATTACTATTATTATTATCTCCAGCCTCCCTTTGGGTCCCTAGCCAAGCCTGATTGGGGAAGCCAGCTGTTCCTACGTGGCACTGCCATGCCTTTCCTGACCTCTCCCTTCCTCGCTTGCAGGATGATCGCTCGCATCGTCTGGGGGTGTCTGCTGGCCGTGACCCTCTTGGCAGACCCCGCGGCAGCTCAGAGTTGCAGACCCCTCCCCACAGGTAAGAACCACCAGAAGGCCTGCGTGTGTGGCGTGCGCAGAGATATCGTTGTAATCCTGGCCATTCCAAAGTCTCCTTAGCCCCCCTCCAGTCTCCTCTGAGCTACCAGCAGCATCCAAAGGTGCTTTTTCAAAAGGCAGCTGGATTTTTTGTTCTTCCTTGAAGACGTTTTGTTTCTCATCAAATTGAGCTGAAGGAGAATTTTGGATGGGAAGCGCAACTTCTTCAAGGAAAAACAAAAAGTCCAGTTGCTTTTTCCAAAAGCATCTTTGGGACAGCCCTGACCTGGAGGAGGGAGAATCCCCCGGACATTCAGCAGCCTCCAACATATTTAAGATAAGATAACCTTTATTGTCATTTTTTTTTACTGTGGGCACAACGGCGAACATCAAAAATGAAATTTAGGGACCGTGCCCGGTGGCTTGACAGGAAGAACAGCCAGGAAGTGCCGCAGGATCCTTGAGAGACCCCCTCAAAACCTAGATGACTAGATGACCTACAAGGTCCCTTCCGTTATTCTAATCTAATCTAAACCAGGGCTCCAGCTTGTATGTTTCTCAACAAACTGGGAACTTGGGTCTTTCAGTTTCATTGGCGCTGTGGGTGCTCCATAACTGGAGGTTTTGAAAAATAGAGTGGGTGACTGTTTGACCAGGATGGTCTAGGGCAGGGGTGGGCAACCTTGGCTCTTTTATGACTCGTGGACTTCAACTCCCAGAATTCCTGAGCCAGCCATGCTGAGGGGAAAGGGAGAGGTTTCCAAGCTGAGCCACGCTGGCTCAGGAATTCTGGGAGTTGAAGTCCACGAGTCATGAGGGGGCCATAGTTCCCCCCTGCTGGCTCGGGAATTCTGGGAGTTGAAGTCCACGAGGCATGAGTGGGCCATAGTTCCCCCATGCTGGCTCAGGAATTCTGGGAGTTGAAGTCCACAATCATGAGGGGGCCATAGTTCCCCCATGCTGGCTCAGGAATTCTGGGAGTTGAAGTCCACGAGTCATGAGGGGGCCATAGTTCCCTATGCTGGCTCAGGAATTCTGGGAGTTGAAGTCCAAGAGTCATCAAGGGAGCCACAGTTCCCCCATGCTGGCTCAGGAATTCTGGGAGTTGAAGTCCACGAGTCCTGAGGGGGCCATAGTTCCCCCCTGCTGGCTCGGGAATTCTGGGAGTTGAAGTCCACGAGTCATAAAAGAGCCAAGGTTGCCTACCCCTCGTATAAGGTCTCCTACCTTGAGCAGAGATCCCTTCCAGCTCTATGGTTCTACGTTCTATGATGCACCTTCTATATTTTTCTATTCCACAAACACCCACCATGCAACATTTAGGGTTAGAATTGGGGAGATCAATGGCAAGAGCATTTAGCAAGAGCACTTAGACTTATATCCCGCTTCACAGGGCTTTACAGCCCCCGTCTAAGCGGTTTACAGGGTCAGTATATTGTCTCCAGCAATCTGGGTCCTCACGGTCTCGGAAGGATGGAAGGCTGAGTCAACCTTCAGCCAGTCGGAATCGAACTGCTGAACTGCTGGCAGCCGGCATTCAGCAGAAAAAGCCTGCAGTTCTGCCCTCTAACCACTGCACAACCATGGCTTATGATCAAGCCTGTAGATTGTAAGCTGGGGGTGGGGATATTTTAATTGCCGACTCTGCTGGTCCAACTGGGCATTTGCTCTCCTGAATCTGCCCACTGGCTACAATTCCATCACCCACGAGGTCTCCAGTGGTGCAATCTCCCACACCCATTACGTATGTATTTATACCCAGGGATAAATCTCACCGACAAAGATGATGAGGGGACTGGAGGCTAAAACATACAAGGAACGGTTGCTGGAATTGGGGATGTCTAGTTTAACGAAGAGAAGGACGAGGGGGGACAGGATAGCAGCCTTCCAGTATCTCAGGGGCTGCCCCAAAGAAGAGGGAGTCAAGCTATTCTCCAAAGCGCCTGAAGGCAGGACAAGAAGCAACGGATGGAAACTAATCAAGGAGAGAAGCAACCTAGAACTAAGGAGAAACTTCCTGACAGTCAGAACAATTAACCAGTGGAACCACCTGCCTCCAGAAGCGGTGAATGCTCCAACACTGGAAGTTTTTAAGAAGAGACTGGACAGCCATTTGTCCAAAATGCTATAGGGTTTCATGCCTGAGCAGGGGGTTAAACTAGATGACCTCCAAGGTCCCTTCCAACTTTATTACTATCATTATCATCATCATCATCATCATCATCATCATCATCATCATCATCATCATCATCATCATCATCATCATCATTATTATTATTATTATTATTATTATTATTATTATTATTATTATTATTATTATTATTATTATTATTATTATAAACCTGCTAAATGGCCACTCAGTTGAGGCTGCATTGAATCTATGGTGAGGTTGTCCAGTTCTTCTCAGGACAATTTGGAGAAGGAGGAAGAAGAGGGCCAAGGGGGGGTCCTCCCCCAATAGCAAAGAAATGGAGCATTGCCCTCTGCTCCCTTCCCCCCACCCCTTTCTCCGCCTTCAAAACTCCTCCCACAGTCCCCACAAAAAGGGGGCTCTGGGGGTTTTGCACCTTCCCCTCCTCTTCTCCTCCTCACCACCTTCTCCTCCATTTCCCCCCCCCCCCGCAGGTGTAAAGGGAGGAAACCTGGCCTTGGGGAAGCTGGCCCAGCAGTCGTCCATCCATCAGCATGACATCGTTGGATCAGCAGACAAAGCCGTGGACGGGGACTGCAGCGGGGACTGGTACAACGCATCCTGCACCCACACCAAGAAGGAGAAAACCCCCTGGTGGTACGTGGACCTGGGAGAGTCCCGTAAAATCTCCGTGGTGCTGGTGAAAAACCGTGTGGACTGCTGTGGCGAAAGACTGTATGAAGCCGAGATCCACTTAGGAGACTCTCTGAAGGACCACGGCAGGTCCAACCCTCGGTGAGTTGCCTGGAGTCCTTAATGCATCCCCAACTGGGGTCCTCCAGGGGTTTGAGGGCCTCCCACGCAGAGAACCCACAGCCAGCGTGGCTGATTTTGGGGTGCTGTGGAGAAGGAGGTGCTGACTTTGGCCTGGGGACCCAGGTGCGGTGACTCCCCTGGTGTGGAGATTGTGAGGCCACCTCCCTCCCTGCTTCTCCAAGAGACGGGGAAGGACCTGACAGCGGCATGGAGACCAGCCCTTAATTGAGCAAGTTGTGGTCTCAACTAGTTTGGGGGGGGGTGTCTGTGTGAATTCCACCTGATTATTTCTTTTTGCTATCGTTTCTGTTGGAAATCTAGACAACGGTTTCCTTCGGAACTGGGTTAAGCTCCTGATAGGAGGCCACCTGGGTGTGATCGAAAAGATGCTGTCTCGGCTTGGATTTTGTACAAAATTCTGGTCACTGCACCTCAAAAAGAGGCCCCTGATGTGGGGAAGGTGCCCCCAAAGTGTTTTGAGCTAGACTCTGATGTAAAAAAATAAACCGGCAGAGGGAAGTGGCAAATAAAGGTGGCAACAGAAAGGAATATTTGCAACTTGGGGTTTCGTGACCCAACTAGGTCACATCGTCAGTGTTAGAAGGGAGGGGGTTTGCAGAGAGGAGGAGGAGGAGGAGGAGGAG